AATTGATGGCATCTCATTAAGAATACGACGCAGATTTTTAAACAACATAAGTGCAGTAAAAGCGACACTCGAAGTCAATGTCTATTTAAGCAGAGAAAATTTTGATTAGAACTCTATTAAACTGATACATCAAAATTTTCCAACAAAAAGGAATGCAAACTAACATTTCCTAGAATTTTTGTATGCCAAAAAAACGAGAATAGCATCATCAGAAATGTTAGAATTGTCCATGATGTCCTCATGCAAATTCTTTTAATCATATAATTGTTAAGTTTCTTTAGTTCTTCATCACGAGCGTCCATAATTTTGCGGCGAAAATAATCTTCCATAACATAAAGTTTGACAACCCGAATAGCTTGCAGTAACTGTTGATAAATTGCGTAAATTGCGTAAATTACGTAAATTAATCGAAATTTTTATTATTAATATAATTTAACTTACTTCGCCTAATAATCCCACGCGTTTGTCAGTTGCAGCCATGAGATCTTTATGAATAATTTGAAATGTCTAAATATAATTTAAATTTGAAATTATCACAGTTTAATATAATAACCATAATTTGAAATTATCACAGTTAATAAAAAGATATATTTATTAATGCTTACTTGAACAATTAGGAGAATGAATGGGCACATTATAAGGAAAATAAACAAGCTTATAACGATTGATACATCAAGTAGGGCATATAAATAGTAAAGAGAAATTGATATTTGTATTGGATAACAATAAACTAAAAGAAAAAAAAAAACAGTAGGTTGGTTAATTAGTATATACTATACTGTGGTGCAAATCACCTGACATCCAAAATTGTAACGCAAAAACAAAATGCGTAGCTTTATAGTTCTAAATAAGACCTCTAAAGTTACGCTTTTCTTTTTTCAGAAATTTCCTATTTGTCGAGACGATACGATTCAAAGAAAAGCATAAGGGAAGTGTCATTTATCATCTGATTTTTTTAGCAGAGGAGTGCCAAAATATCATGCTAATATTCACGTGCATATGGGATTGTTGCTATTAAAATGACCTTCCGAAACTATGTTAATTTTGTGAATATAATTTTAAATTTTCTAGCCATCTAATAATTCAATTTGAATAAACTTTTTTTTTATTTTGTAAATATCAATAGAATCTACAAAATAAAAAAAATCCATTCAAAACTAAATAGCCAGAAATTTTAATTTTTATTCACAAAATCAACATAGCCTCGGAGGATCATTTTAATAGCAAAATCAGCTAATAAATAACACCTCCCTAATAGAAATTTTCGAGACTTAAAGTTTGATTGGTTGGTTTCCCATCATTACTGAATTATGATTTGCACCTTAACGTTAATGTTTGATCGGGTCGGATCGCCCGATCTCGATCCGAAGCATTCGGATTGGTTCGTGTTGACCGGGCCGACCAGAAAAATTAGTCTCGGCCCGAAGTTTCAGGTTGGGTTCTAATTGGTTCATCACCTGACCCAACCCGTTCAGAGCACTACCTACTACACAGCAAAACATTACGTAATACCTACTATAAAAAAAGTTCCTGGCTAGTGACGAAACTTTTTGCGCATCAGAATCCATGAGATCTGTAATCATTCCCGCTTTATTTTTTTCATCATCATTCAGAAGCATAGTTGTTTGATATATTCTATCAATAATGTTCGCCTGCTCCAGATTAGAATTATTAACAACTAGTGTTTAACAAACTTAAAATACAAGAAATGTTTCGACATACCCTATATTTAACAGATAATTGTTGTCCAATATATGATGCTTGTTGAAAGCATAAATCTGGGATCACTGAACCAACAAATAAGAAGAATACATATAAATAACCGATCGTTCGTGTCTCTCCGCCAATATCAGAATAATCTTGAATATACAGCAAAACTTTTTCAAGAAAGTATGGTGGTGCAATAGAATAGACGAAAGTCCAAATCATTGCAAAAATGAATTGAACAAGCAATTCTTTCCAAGAAGAAACACAT